AGCATGTGAATGTATTGTTGACTGACTGAATGTAGTGCACACACTTTAAACAAGGCCATTAAGCAATATGTGACCATGTTTGAGCGTTAGAAAGTTTTTTTAACCTGCTTTATTAGAATATTTCCTGTTAACAAAAAAAAAGTTTTACCATTTAGCAAAAACAGAAAAAAAATCTGTCTCCTATTTAATTGCTATATTGTCTTCTTTACTTTTGCCCCCTTTGTCTGCTAAGTGTCCTGAGCACAGGATTCATATTCAACCCTCAATAACATTTCATTTGTTATGCCAAATTCATTAACCTGTACTGCTGTTCAGCTGACCTCGGTCATAAATTTGCTTAATGTGATAAGATGGTTTCCAGCTGTAATAAGGAGCATAAAATTTAAAGAGAAACACACACACTGTCCCTATCTAGTCATTGATCATTCAAACTCAGAAGTGTTTTAGAGCAAGAACATTCCTCTCTTAGAGGATTTTACTTTTTTTTTTCTTCCCATGAATCCACAATGAATGTTTTGATTTATACCTAATTGTACCACAACTTATTACTCAGAAAATAGTTAATGATCATTTCTCTTCTAAAATCTATTTTAGCTGGTATTAGCTGGATAAAAATTCCATCAACGTAAATCTATAACACTACAATTTATTCTGTCTAAAATAGTTTCAGTTATAATTTAGGGTTCAGAACCAGCTTTAACATTATTTGAAATTACTGAGAAAATTTAATAGCTTTTCATGCGTTTCTTCTTCCTAGAGGGTTAGTATAATCAGTGACAATGCATGAAATGCTCTGGTATTGTAGAAAATCCTAGACAACTTTCACCGTCAGGTTAAAATACTGACTTCCCTGTGGTCCTCTATCCCTCAGTGGTCTCGCCTAACAACTCCCTCCAAAGAGCCTATTAGACCTGAATCTCACTTTGCTGTTAAAAAGGGTCCTGTCCTTTCAGCACACTCACTTCCCTGCTTTCTGTTTTTCATAGCATAGGTGCAGGAGCAACACAAGTTCATTGTTCACTCGCAGATGGAAGTTGAAGTTACCAGGGTAACAGCTCTAATCCTTTCTCTTTTTTTTACCATTTCTTTCATATTAACAGTCTATCGAGAGCTACCTTTTAAGTCACAGGGAAGGAGCACTTGCTTACCCACTTTTAATTAGCCATGACTCTGTTTGCCAGGAGACAGCGTGATGAGCTAATCGAAATTTACGAAATAATGACGCACTGCGAGAGGCTACTTCTTCTTCCCAAGGCCCGCTCCAAGAATAACAATAATGAGGCCATTATGGAGGATTGCACTTTAAAACGGCTGCGCAGCCACCAAAACAGAGGACATAATTGTTCTGGTGTTTTCCATACAATCAACAACCCTTTGTGGATTGACTTGAAATCGAGCAGAGCAAAGAATGGGTGTCATAATGATTGGTCTGTGCTGCCTTCAAGATGCTGTACAAAGTGCCCAGTGAGCTAGATAGACTACTGATTTGCTTGTGGATGAAGACATACATATTTTGGTCTTGTATGAAAAATGTATTTTCTCTTTGTAGTGTGTTGCTGGTGTGTGTGTGTTCTTTTTTTAATACATTGTGGGCCATATTTTCTGGAAAAATAGCACATTGTTGGAACCAACTGCTCCTTGTTGGGCCTGATGCTTGGACCCCACAGGGAGAAATGCTGCTTTTGGGTCATGGTTCATGTTTAGGACAGGTGTGAATTGCATTTAGGTTGGGGTTAGGATTAGTTATAAACACATAATGGTTAGGTTTAGGGTAAGGGTCATAGTTATGCTGTATAAATATTTTAGAAATGAATGGAAGTCAATGGAAATGCCCCACAAATATAGTAAGACATGTTTGTGTGTGTGTTTGTGTGTGTCGGTGGGGGTTTTAATGTAGCCTGGGGCTGTATTAGAGAACCTGAGACCCATTCAAATTGAAACACTAAGACCCTCGATATCTAGAGAGATTAACCACATATGCACATCTCTAATTGTTTTTTGGGTTAGTTTTTTCTGTGCATGGCCTAAACATTTATTTTTTTCACCTAAAACAAGTGAAAACAAACATATTCACCAGCATGTTTGAAAAAGTTACTGCAGTTTATATCAGGCTTGTCTGCTTACACTAGTTTAATCCAGCATGCCAAGAAGGCTCAGTTTGCTAGCAAAAAATCTGCACTTCAACTTAACTCAATAACAAAAAGCGGAAACAGCAATTCATAAAAAATAAAGTTTCCTATTAAAATTTTCTGGTGGAGAGTTTTTAAGGGGATTGCACAAACACAGCTCTGCAGCTAATAGCCAAGCTCTATTGTCAAAAGAGAGTAGAGAAAACAGGGCTTGAGGGCAGAAGGAATGCTAAGTGGGCCCCCTAGTCTAGTCAGCCTTCAGTGGGTTTCATTTATCTTCATCTTGTTAGACTAAATTAATTAACAATCTCAATGTTACACACTTTCTCCTTTCATTACATTCAAATAATGACGAAAATGCTAAGGGAGGTCCTGCCCACTGGGGGTACACTAAGACTGAAGCTCTCTCTGTCTATCTTTCAGTCATTAGCTCTCTTTTTCTCTGTTCACATGTCTGTGTTGGGTTCCTTCCCCTCTCTGTCTTTCATTTATTTTCATTTTTCCACTCACTTTTTGACTGCACAAACAAAAAGCTGATAACTGTGTTGCCTAAACATATTAAAAATTGATCTAAGGTGAAAACACATTCCATCAACAAAGAGAAACTAAAGAGCCTTAATGGCACATCGTATACCGCAAAACAGGAAACCTTTGGCTTACTATAGAGAAGTTTTAAAACATGTTTTTTTTTAACTACATACAAAACTGAGATCACCCAATTCTTAATCCTATTTGAACATCTATCTCTAACAGAACAAAAGCTTTAGAGTTGTGCTTGAAATGAAGAGTATAACTGTTTGACTTTCAAGTGTTTGTCACAAGAACTGTGTAACAGGTTTAATTAGGGAGACGTGTTTATTAAAAATGAAAGTGGCTCCTTTGAGAGCCTCTAAAGCTCACACAAACTCAAACCCAAACTGATGACTCAACACATTATTGAAACAAGGCACATCTGTCATATTAGGTACTAAAGCATAAAAAGTCAAAAGCCGATCAACTCTGGAACAGATTTGCATGTGTGCCACTATTGAGATGGTCCTGAACTACATAACTTTGTTTTACAATAAAGAAAATGGGATTCTTTAATGGAGAGCCATAATTATCTACCTTTTTCTTTCCCTTTTCCACCCCACCACCTCACAGCTCACTGCCCACTCCAGCATACAACACTTATCAAAGCAAAAAGAGCTAACCCTGAAGCAAGCCTGCCTTTAATCTTGGCCCGATTGTCTAAGCCTCAATCGGTGTGCATAATATCTTCTGCTGCCTTTAATTAAAACTGACATCGACAGAACGATGTGTATTAGAGAAGCAAAAAAGGTGTTGGAAAGCCATGATATTTTTCCACATTTAATTATAGAAAAGGTACAGAAATGTTTGGTCAAAGTTTTGCTTTTTCTAAGATAATATTCTATCTTAGCCCTCAAACTTTAAGGATATGACCAATCTTTTTGTCCAGTTGGTGTCCATTTAAGTAATGTCAACAGGTGCTGAGAGATCCACTTTGTAGTTGTTGCTACATCTCCAGAAACTAAAAGCAAAAATAAGAAATGGCTGCGCCTTTGAAACTTTAATAAGCCTAATGTCTTTGACTCTTGTCAGATTTCAGGGGTTAAACCAAAACAAAAAAAGGATATTATGCCCTAACAGATAAAACCTATATTATACATTTTGCAGCAAGTCAAATATCTTTTAATATAATCAAATTAAAGGAAAGCTGTGGGTTGAATTTTCTGTTGTGCGACGGAACTTAAATTTGAAAAAGATGTTTTATTTCACAGATTTGTATGCTAAATAAATTCTAGTAGATCGACTGGATCAGGGTATATTTCAAGACTGATTTTGTCTTTCATGGAAGAACTAGAACAAAACTCCTTTTTTTTCCTTTTTTTATGTAATAAACATTGTTTAAGTCGTGGAAAAAATAATGAATCAATTTTTAAAAAGTCAAGACATTTGCCTACAGAAATCCTGAAGGACGCTTTGATTCACATGAGTAATGGTATCAAATCGTCCTTTCTTTTTAAAATGCCCCCAACTGTTCTGCAGGAAAAAAAATGCTGTTAATTTAATCAAATAAGTGACCTTTTGAAAAAGAAATCAAAGAGGATTCATTAGCTTTAGTAAAGTTTGTCTGACAGCAGCTTTGAAAGGCAGATGCTGCTGTGGCTTTTAATGAGCCAGCCCTAATTAGGGAGCAACACTGGAGCCTAGAGAAGGTAGTTGACTAGGAATGGAGCCAATGGTAAATAAGCTTCCTTATTTACTTCCACTGTGTGTAATGACAGCACACATTTTTAATTAGAATCCCAAGATGGGGAAAGACAAAAAAAAAATCTAATCTTTACATTAGTATGAAGACAAACACAGGATGAAACGGAAAACAAGAGAACATCACAAGACTGATTTGCTAGTGATTGCCTCAACCAGTCAACCCTGATGAGGGTATTTAGCAAGGCAGGGGCAAATGAGCAGAATGGTCAGACAAGAGCATGCAGTATGAAGACACAGAGAGCCTGACCTGCAGGCCATTTAAACTGTGAAGCGAGTGGAGAAGCAAGGGGTGGGGAGAGCTCATGTGTTTGTGACCATCAAGTTGTTGATGTGTGCTTTCAGTCTGACTCAAGGCTGTAAGGGTAAGCATGCGTCTCAGCCACACACCACATGAACACAATTCTAACACACAGCTTGGGTAAATAGGCAACAATCTCTGTTGGACAGTCTTTCAGATGTACAAACACATGCGCACACAGAAACGTGCACGCAGACATGGGGCATATTCCACAGCTAACAAGGGATATTAACCCTTCAATGTTTTCCACCCCTACCCGACCTGTGATCCTAAACGGCAACAACGGAAATGAAACTAACCTCAGTAAAAAGCTGCTACGAAGAAAGCCTTCCATGTCAGCGAGTGGGGTTCTGGTAGGAAAAATCACAGAGAACATCTTTTTTTAACCGTGAAGTGAGTTATAATCAGGAAGAAGAGTAACAGGAGATGGGGAGGGAGGAAAAAAAGGGGGAATAAAGAAAAGAACAGCACACCGATCATACATCTTCTTATACAGGATCTTATGTCTTTAATTAAAGCAAAAAATATGACTTGGAACCCATCCTCTTTTTATATGAACTGACATCATTAATTACATCTCTTTCCATTGAAGGACTGAATTTGCATACAACATTGGTTAGCACTGATGATATGTTTGCATCAAATAAACCCTGCCCTCTGATCACCATACAGCCCGTATCCACGGCTGTGTGCATGTATATGGATGCGGATCCAGCCCCTGTAACCACAGATCCCGTCTGTTCAGAGTAGCCAGCGGTGGTCCAGCTGCAGCCCATGTGTGGCGAGGCTGCTGTGGCTTCTAGGAGCTTGGCCACAGGGGACCCGCGCTGGGAATCACAGCGCCAATGAGGCAAAAGGATGTGGTCATGATGTCACCACTTGTATAGGTCGCTCAGAAGCCGTAGCCACAAAAAAAACTGGAGACACATGGATAAAATTGACTTAGAACAGGTTTCCATTGGGCAATGTTATTGGTCTGTGTAATGCACACTTTTTATTGTGTTAAGACTGACTGAAAATTGATTGGGTTTCACACACTAAATTGTGTAAGTGGACATTTCACTGGCGAATCAAGTTTAAATTCCTTTCTTTTGTTTAATAATGTATACTTTTATTCTGAGTTTATCTTGCATAAGGTTAACATTAACTTCATTTTCTTAGAGTTTTGACTTCTAAGAGTCAACGCAACACATGGCTGATGGTAAATCTGCTACTTTTCATATCAAGATAATAATAAGAAACACAAGCTAAACGGTGAATTATACTTCAGCCCTTAAACACCTTTCAGTTGCATGGATGTAATTTGGCATTTTCCCTTCTTGCTCAAGTGGCCTTCAAACAAAGCCTGTGAGAAAATGGAAAGAATGAGCCAAGCCCAAGGACACTGTGCCTTTCAGCTTGGCCAGCACTTAGCAAAGCAGTGGCTTCACAAGGCCCAAAGGGCTCAGCTGAGACTTTTCTCACAATAAGGTGTCTGGGGAGGCGGGAGTGGCATAGCCAGGGGTACTTGCAGCCCTGCTCTTTTCTCCACTCTGTTGGGCCCAGAGCACATAATACCATCACCATGCCACAGCACACCGAGCCAGTGACAACGTGAGAAAACAACCGTCAAACAGAGCAAAGCAGATCAAGCGTGTCTCCTCACTTCTGGGAGTGCAAAAAGCACCCAGTGCAGGCACACACAAACCAAAACAATCACCAACACAAATATTAACTCATTCTGAAGTTAATACACGAAAAGAAAAAGCTTCTTCAACTTAATTTTTTAAAATGCATTGAATATGAAGCACAATTACAAATATGTTTAAATTTTACAGACCTTTCAAAAGGATTTAAAGATAACAAAAAATAAAGTAGTCAACCCAATAATGTTTTTGTTTATCTTTAGTTTAAGGCAATATCATTTTTTCTTTTACTCGCGCTATTTATATTTTCTTCTCAGCTGATCTACTTTCTTTCCTGGTCAGAAACAACAACAAAAAATATGCTATGAATATAAAATTAGGGGTTTTGGAGAAAATTGCCAAACTTGCAGAAAAAGATTCTTCAAGCTTTAAACAAAGACCACCTGTAGATTAATAAATAAATTAGTGATATGAGGATAGGTCTCACTAATTTGGCATAGGCCACTCCAAGCCGCCCAGCAGTCGTTCAGAGAAAGACTTTCTGCCAAAAGCTGCGTCTGCTTAACCAAGTCTCCACCATCTGCAACAAATGTGCTCTATTAAAGCAGTACCATATGGACAACAAGCTAGCTATTAACACGGCTTCAGCACATCCTTTAACCTAGCCCAGATTTCAAACTTCCAGTCAAATTGACTGCTGATTTAATGCACCGCCAGCAGCCATGTGGGTCTTGGCACGAGACAGCACTCTCAGTCTTCAGTCATTAACGGGCTCACATCGTGCACAGCCCACAGCGAGACACAGAAGTTAGCTGCACAGAGCATGTTGGTTTAACATCCCAGGTTAGTTTTTATATTCTCTTAAATAAACCAGTAGAAAAAATGGAGGGCTTCGTTCCTTAAGAAAAGTAAACTAGAGTTGAAAGTATTTTACTAAGTCCAACAGTAAGCCACAAACATTAACAGCCTTGCAAGTGGCTTTTTTTCCACAGGGGTTTATTTGCATAGATCTGAAAAAGAGTGAATAAAGTGAGGACAGGAGACGTATTTGTTGACCATAGAAAGTGCTCAAGACTTTAATTTATTCATGTTCATTCAATATTTCTGTAATAACAATGTATCTGCTATAAAACCTTTTCCTCAATATAACTGATCAGTTACAGATTTTCTGTGGTTTTAAACCTAAACCTTGTAATAGGCTTCTTTAATCAACCTTACTTGACTCAAATGCTAAAATATTGGCTACACAAATGTAGCTAAATGAAAGATTAGTAACACAAACATAATGGCAGTCATTTCATCCAAGAGCTCCAATTTTCTATTATTAAACCACATCACAAGTTGGATGTATGGCTGGCATTGTCACTTTGTTGCGTTTGCAAAATGTTATGTAGGCCTACACTTATATAGTTTTTTTTTTAAGTAAGGAGAAATGACCACAGTATTTTACACTATATTCAGTCATTCACCCATTCATACACACTGATGGTGGCCAGCTACATTGTAGCTACAGCTGTTCTGGGGCTCACTGACAGAAGCAAGGCTGCAGTACACGGGTACCACCGGGCCCTCTGAACATTTATGTATAACTTCTGGAGTATCGGCTTCTTCCATTCTGAGTGGCCTTTCACACCACTCATATTAAAGTAAAGCACTCATATTCCTTTAATTTGAAAAGTCTTTTTATACTTTTATTGCTTATGTCACTTTAATAGATATCTAGAACACAGAGCCTGTGTTGTTCATTGACCATATGTTGCGAACTGTTGCCAAAATCTGGAGTTCAAAAATTTTTGTTTTGATATTTGGGCTGTTACAGTATATTTGGAGTTGTTTACAATGTTGCACAAGAAAAATATATTTTTGAGATAATTCCCTAAAACATTTAAATATAGAACTCTACTTTTTGTTTAACAAATCACCAGCTTACAAAGCCCAGGAAGCAACATCTTGGCTTTCCCACATCAGAGCATAGTAATTTTAGAGGAAATTATAGTATGAAAAAAAAAAGAACACTATGAAACTAAACGGGATTACAAACAACTCTTAAATCATGTAAATTCTACAAACAGACCCTTAAAATATGGTGATAGTCAAGTATAAGAGTACAGGGACACAATGGATACACACATTTTTATAGGATAAAGATATTTATCTACCATCATTTCTATTAACAAATCTAAAATATATCCAAGTGGTAGTACAATCCCCATATTACAACACAGGAATGCACGTATTGCTAGCAGATGCACGTATTTCAGTCAGCATTGCCAGATGAGTAGTGAATTAATTTGTGTGAGCCACTCCAACATTAGGAAGGTGTGTTGAAAGGTGTCTGCTCATGTTTCAAATTAAACGCGCTGCTGGTCAGCATTAGCACCTCGACACCCGTCGGCAACTGACACTTAGGGAGCTGGGGGTAGGATGGGAGAGAGAAGGGAGGAGATCCCACCCCTGTTCACACTGGAATAATTAGAACATGTCAGGAAGAATTAATTTCCTCATTTTTCAAAAGGATACACAGAAATTACCATGTTATTATATGACAGGGTCCCAGGGAGAATTGGATTAAATTTGATTTCTTGTGCAGCCCACACAACAAATTAAAGTCATAAATAAGATGGAAAGAAGCAGGCACAGAGCATATGTTTATGGCAATGAGTGAAGCCAAGGGAGCAGAAACAACCATCTTCATTTCATTTTATTTAAATCAGGCTAACACCGTGTCTCTGAATGACAGCAGTTACTAATGGGATGATACAGGCTTCTCAGTATTAACAAAAGGGGTTTTAAAACTTCATATGAGGATACATAAAATAATAGGGGATTACCTAGTGGACCAATACATTCTTCAGAGGTTATACCAGTAAACATGGTGATTCTACAGTATCATAAACAGTTCCATATATTAATATATTTAAATTGTTCTTAACATGTTTTTGGCAAAGTCTATATTTTCAATAGAAATTATTAGGTGCCACAAAAAATAAAACTAATGTTTTGCGAAACAAGTATGTTAATTGTATCTATAGACACTCACTGACACCACTCGAAAAGATAATGACAGAAGAATTTTGGCTTTAAAGAATGAAAAACCCAAGACTGACAGAAGGCTGACGGAAAGAATAGTTCTCTATTCTAAAAACTAAAATTAATAGATGTGACACATTTGAAAAGAACTGAAAACTTTCTAAACAATTCATATCTGTAAAACCAAAAACACTATTCCATAACGTTTAATTGTCTTTTCATATAAACTTCTGTATGTTTTTCAATCATTTCAGTAATGCCACCTATGTACAGTATCACTACTTTGACAGACAATAAAAGGATGCATGCATTTTCCACATGGGGAAATTTTGACATTTAAATAACTTTAGTCGAGACTTCTTGAGTTCACCTTTTTATTTCCTCACAAATTAAAAAGCTACAACTAATAAAAAAGGGAATTCTGACAAAAGAAGTATTTCAATTTAGATCCTAGCATTAGGACGTATTGAAGTCAGTATCATGTCTCGAAGTGAACCAAAATGTATTGACATAGCTCTCCTCCTGAGGGCCAAACTATACTTGTTAGCCTAGTATTACAATGCAGTGTTATCTTTGCTGAAGGAATTTCTCTTTTTTTATGTCTATCTTTTTTTATCTCTGCCATTAGATTGTATTGCTCCCCTGGGCTCCACAAACTTTAAATAATTTGCGAATCAATTAACTGGCTACTCAAAACGCAACAAGGATTTCACACTCTCGTGCCGCGGTGCATTACAGTTGGAGATGATTCATGGCTTTTTGGAAGAAAACCTCATGGCTGAAACCATTAATTCGTTTTACCAGACTTTTAGTTATGAATTACTTTCTACAGCTGGTGTGAAAGAAGATTAATGGTGTGTTCTTTGACAGGAGCATGTACTGCGGAAAAGTGTCCTCTACAACAAGAAGGGAATTCAAAATATGAAGCCGCACAGTAGAAAAATAAATTTTAGCCTTTTAATCTACCCTTTTATTATGTTAAATACATTTTAAAAGTAACAAACTCTACAAATATAACCTTTGGTTAATTCTAATTGTCATGGGAATCTTAGTAAAGCTGAGGTATGTTTTAAACATTTCCACCAGGTATTGACATCTGAACAATTAGTATTCCCAAATGAGCTAGGGGATTCACTGAAGTATTTGTGGTTGATTAAATTAAAATCATTGTCATGCAGCCTCTGTTTGGCATATTGACCACAATCATTGGAGGGTCAGTGAACTGAAGAGGCTCATTTGTTGGATAATAGACACAAAGCAGCCATTCAAGGTTTTTCATTTTCATTTTAGGAATGAAGTGGTGTTTATTTAATTCCAGTCAAAAATGGCTCCCTACATCCCATCCTTGGTCTATAAATATTGGCATAAAAAGCTGTGAGACTGTGTGGCTGTGGCTTATTAGATAAACAGTACATTAACAGAGTGTGTATCCGTTCGGATGGTCTGATCATACTCTCAGGTGTTTCCAGATGAGATTGAATGAGCCTAATTAAGCATCTTACACCAGCAGCAGAAACTAGATTACCTCCTGTCATTTTTCAAGATTCATTAAAGCTCTAAGTCATAATATTCAGAACTTGATTGTATGAAGATCCAGCTAAATGTGAGGGGGACAAAACCACAGTTAGTCCAGTGGGACTCATGTTAGGTTGTCTTGTGTAACAAATACTGACAGGAGACTAATAACCTTGCAAACCTTTACCATAAACAGCTCAGTTCAGTGTCTGCATGCTCAAACCCTATTAGTGTCAGAAGAAGCCTTTTTATCAGCACATGCAGGTACCACTCTAAGCTGCAAAGGAGATGTAGTACAAAGTGCTTTTATTCTTGTTTGAGTTTGCCTTTTTCAGCTGATTCCTGTTTTTGTACTTGTCATTTTTTGAAAAACTTAATCATTTCAATGCATAAAGGCAAAGCTTAAACATTGAAAACTTCAGGCATTGTTACACTCAATAGTATTTTATATTCAGCCTGAGGTTTATTTGTTTTATCTATACAGACTCATCTTGCATTTCCCTTTTTTTTCCAGAAACTTGATAGATAACTGCCATTTTTCTTTTCATGCCTAATTTGCCATAATTGCATTATGTAAGCTGTCCATGCTTTCAACTAAGGGTCTTTGTTGCCAATTACACGTGTTCATAGCCTTGATATTCCGGCACAATGACGTTCAAAAAGTTGCGGTTAAATAAAAGCTTAAAACACCTTAAACATCATGACGTCTCTGCCGTTTTAACCAATTTAAATGAGATTCTAATTTAAGTGTCAAGGTGGTAGGGTTTTTTTGTTCCATTATATGAACCTTAATCCTTCACTGCGCACTGTCAGTCAGCCAGTTGAAAAAGGCTACTAGGCTTTTCTCTTCCTCACATAAAAAAAGAAAAAAAAAATTCCTAGAAAGATCTGGTTTCAAAAAAACCTACCTCTTCACCCACTCCATCACTCAGGTAATGTTTCTCTTTATAACTAGCCTGGTACTTATTTCTTTATTATTTATGGTGATGACATATTTGGATCCAGCTGCCACAATAAAATGATAACCTGTATTGATGTACTTAATACAAAAGAAAACTCCACTTTTTGAGAAAATTACTGCTTCTCAATTGGTCGTCATTCAATCTATAAGATCAAACAACTTTAGATTCTTTCATTAATCTAAAACTTGCATCCCTACTTACTGCCATTTTTTAAAATATAACAAAAAAAATACAAGAGATAATATTAATGTAAGCAACACATGGTATTTCAGTTTCAGTAACAATAATTATTATTTATCTGCTTTAGATAAAAACTTAATTTAATGTTTAATGTCTGTGTCTTAATATGAAAACACTTTATTTTCTGAAGATTAGCGTAACATAGGAATTTCATACCACTCCATCCCTGTATTAATAAATTGTTTTTTAAAGTCCTTTACTGTGAACTGCTGTGAATATATCCTACATTATAATATGTCCTATTTTCATTTGAATACTTACAAAATCTGAATTGACAGACTGATGACTTGGTGCCATAAATAGTTCTCAGGTTGGCAGGTGTGCGCTTCTGTGAGTAGTACCCATTGTGTGATGTGAAATAGCATGATCAAACAATGGTAAATGGCCATGAACTTTGAATTCAGACAGACATTCCAAAGCTTTTATTGAGGGGCTTCTAGGTCGCATTAATATGATTCCCGTGATATCTCCAATGACATTTATACGAGAAGAATAATATCAAGTAAGTTCCTGACTTTTATTTGTTTAATATCTTGGACAAATTTTCATTAGAAAACCGGCACAGACTGCAGCTGCACAAAGAGGGTTAAAGTAGTTTTTCGTGCAGAGAGAATCACGGTGTATTCAACTGTGCATCAAATTGCAACACCTGATTTCATCATAATTGTATCGCTATAGTATATGACTTTGGAAGCTCAAAGTAAAGCTTCTTAAAAGATATTTCAATGCACAATTCTAACAAAAATAAATTTAAGGGGCTGATGTTTGAGAAAAAGGTCTGTCTGCTCCGTCGTGCCTGCAACTGTTTAATTGTGCATACAATGTGAGTCTATCCAATTGTCCACCTCATTTAATGCAGGTGTTTACAGTGGGTGAAAGGCAGCAGGGGTGTTTGAGACGTGGCAGGACAGAGACAGCTGAAAAGGCAAAGTGATACTTACAAACACTGAAAGACTCAATCTCCAGCTTCCACCAATCACTGCTTGGTTGACTTTGAAGTCATGTAAAAAACCTGGAAAAGAATGGAGAAAAAAAGGTAATTATAGACCACATCTTTGAATGTAGCTTTATTTGACTAAATAAGCTTGAAAACGAGATCCAAAGGCTAATTAGAAATAATGCCTTACTGCTGCCACTAATGTAAATCTGCTCTAGAGTGTGTTTAAATCCTTCTATTTAGCTAACCTATCCTTCACAATCTACAGATTTAACAAAAGAGCTCAGATATAAACAGTTGTTTTATTTAATGCTGTCATCTTCCATCAAGCACTTACATCTCATTAATTATTGAGATGCCATGCTCTGTCTGTTTTAGCATGTCTCTTAAAGAGCAGTAAGTCTGTTTAATAGAACACAAAGCCGCAAGAGGCTCAGGGGAAGAGTGCATGTGTTGTTCACTCCATCTGAGCCGTTTTTACTTTTCTGCCCATCGGGAGACATTCACTTTGCACACGCCCCTCCTCCTGATTGGCATGTGGTGGGAGTTAACTGCTGATCACACTGATTAAATAACTTAGCTATCCGTCATCATTAACAAGCATGTTTTAACAGTGGAAAGGTATGATTCTCTTTTTAACAATAAAAAAAACTCCAATTGGAATAGGCACTATATACAGTAAAACATCATCACCTCTATGATGGTATGTGTTAACCTCACTTTTACATGTCTCTTCAGTTTGACTAAAGTCTCTTAGCAAAAAAAATTTGCTAAAATAGCATTGCTATCTATTCTATTAATTTCTGATTTTTTTTCAGACTGGTCTAAATCTATCGAGAGTGAGGTCTAGCCTGGTCAGCTGGACTAACTTAAGCCATATACACTGTGGATCAATTTGGAAAAAAGCTGAGACAGCGCTACTTAGACAGTCAGCAGAAAATGGTTAGAACCAATCGTATAGATGTGATGCAAAAAAACATCTTTCTTAAAAAGAAAAGCTCTTACAACCGCAAGTTTTTTGAAATTTCAACAATATATCTAGTTAATTTGAGACATAATAAAGGGAATGAATAAACCATCACTCAATATCATTGATTTGCATTACGGGTAATTCTGGCAGAAGGATAAACTCCCACCTTCCGTGCTGCGATTGGTCAAGTCTGTTTAAACCAGATAGTCTGAGACTAGCCAGGCTGATTTATGCCCATTGTGAGTCAGTCTTGCTGGCAAAGATGAAACTTTTGGTGTATATTTTAGAGTTTGTTCTCTTACAGTGAGCTGCTGAATTTTGATAAAACAGGTAGTTTATTTTATTTTATGTCAGCTTTCCAGCAATCTTAGGGTTTACTTACTTTTCAACAAACTCAAGGCAGTATTGCTTATTTTAACTAATAATGAGGCAACAGATTATATTTCCCAAGACCCTCCCTTTAAAGGTGGAATGCATTAAATGAGCTGACTGCAGTCACATCTGGCTTAAATTATTGAAACTCATGCTTTTAATTTAGTATCCTGATATTGATCACTTGTAAAAAGCAAACACTGATTGACAGTTCCCCACTCATGAAACACTCGTGAAAATACCTTGAATTCCCTAAGCCTTGAATTCCCTAAGCAACTATTGCTTTTGTGATGTGCACTTAAGGGATTTTATATTTTGTTAGTCTTTATTGGATGTTAAAAGTTAAATTCATAATGGCACAGAATGAGCTATAATTAAGAGCCAAATGACAATAGAGAAATACCAAGTCATCAGAGAGGGAGGTGGATAAGCTTCAGGCTCGTTCCTTTTCATTTTCGCACATTATCTTGTTTTTCACAATAAGCCTGGATCTCATTACCAGCCAATTTATACAATTAGTCTGCTTCTACACTGCCAATTAAACAAGGCCAAGGGTTTTTTGAGGTCATGCTTAACTGATCTGTCACTAATTTGCACTGCGATCCCTCAGTCTTCCATTGCTAAGTCCAATAAGCCACTATCAACAAGGTTGGATAAATATATAGAACGGCCACAGCATTGTTGTCAAAGCGCAGCAGAGTCTGCTGCGGGGGAGGCTTGAGGGCTAACAGAGTGAGACGGGCCTGAATGTGGCAGCCTTGAGGCTATAGAAGGGACAATGGGAGTAAAGGGACCCCTGTGACCCCACCTGAATGGAAAGCTGCTCCATACAGCAGCACATAGCTAACGCACAAAAAAATTGAAAAAAAAATCTGACATTTTTATCCTAGAAAGATTATTTGTACATTTAAACACAATATTCCTTATTTAATTCTTATAAAGATTATCATACAAATTTTCTTTCCAAAGAGAGATAATAATAATAATAAATAGATCTTGTATATTGCAAGGCAACATATATTCATGTATGAAAGGAGCAACCTGACTCTGACCACCATAATACCTTTCCTTCCTCAACTACACCATTCACAACTAGCTCTAGATACAACCACCTACTCTTGGTTCACAAATACATGCAATTTACTTTTTATAGCCGTTTTGTGCACACCAGTGCTCCCAGCCCACAGAATAAAAGACAAATTCCATAGATGGCAATTCACTAAACCCTTTGTCTACTTAACTGGGAGCCCTTGTAATCACATAGAGTATTATTAACAAGATCTTTGAATGATCAGTTTGATGATAATTGAGAATAAAGAGATAAATAAGACATGGGGTGCTGTATTATTTATACACTGGTTATTACGCTTCATTATTTCTGTGAGTGCTGGGAATCACAAAATAATTTATAATTGCAAATAATGAGAAAAGCCAGATGATATTATCATAAAGCAAATACAGGAATCCCTGTCATTCTGTAGGAGTCTGTATCTACCGGCCTGTTGAAACAGCATGCAAGATCCTTTTTTTTTTCCAACCCCACCTCCGGCTAGGAAACATTAAACAAGCTCTTTATAACCAATTATAGCTGTAGTCTTTTGTTGTTTTTGTTGTTTTTTAACAAGCACTTCCAGTTAATCGGTTCTGGTTTATTCCTAATGGTGTGAGACGGAGAGGATTATACTAAAATTATCTCATTACATCCTGAATACCAGAGGTTTTGCTCACAGGTAGCAAGCTCCAAACAGACTAATGTAGCTGGACATCAAAGAACAAAAAACAGAGAGCTCACAGTCACCTGTGGCATTCCGGTCAAAGAGTACCCCCTTTATCTCTTGTTGCATAGCCTCACGGCATCTCACCAACACACAGAAACACATTCACACAAGAGTTATTTCAAAATCAAGCTTAAGTAGAAAGTTATGTTGAGGGTATAGCTGTGTAGATTTTTACATCAGAGAAGGTTTTATAGAACCTTCAGCATAAGCACAAAAAGCTTAAGGTTAAAGATAAGGTAATATGACATTTGTTCTGAATGTAATGAAATAAGAATATACCTTTGATATCTTCTAATATTCAGAATCAGAGTCAAGTTTATGGCCAGGTAGGTTTGCTTTAACAAGGAATTTGAGTTGGTGTTGATGGTGCACACAAATTGGGTATATATAAAGAATACAGAATGTATAGCTATATAAAATATAAAACATATGATATACTATATGCAATTATTTAGTACATAGTTATATACTACTTTATATACACAGTAGATTGTGCATTAATGTAAGGCAGGAGGTCTGGAGATGCTACGTTGGTGTAGCTTCTAGGTCTTGAACGGGGGAGAGAGAGAGGCGGTGTCAGTGTCATGGGGTCTCTGGGCCTTGTTGATAAGACTGGTAGTGGATGGGAAGAAACTGTCCTTGTGGCATGAGGTTGTGGTCTTGATGGACCACAACGTCCTATCAGAGGAAAGTATCTGAAATAGTATGTGGCTGGTGTGCGAGGGATCACCACAGGCCTCAGAGTCCTGGATGCGTACAGATCCTGAGAGAGGTGGAAGACTGAGACCAGACCAGATGACAACCTGCAGTCTGCCCTTGTCAGTGGCAATGATGGAGCAGTAGAAGTGCACCATCATTGTCTTTGGCAGGTTGAATTATTTCTATGGCATTAGCATTATGACAAGAGAACCACAAGCGTATATTAATCTCCATGGGCGCATTGGGATCACCTATTTTTATTCATATGGGGTTATATAGGCCCTTTGCTTAACAAGTGTATTTTACAGTGACATTAAATGTCCCACGCGCACCTACAGTGACCACCAGAGCAGCTGAACTTGGTGAAGCTAGCACTCCACCCACGTGGATTACCTTGGTAAATAGACCAAATGGTTAGTGCTTTGTCAGTGTGGGTTTTTGCAGTTAAAATTTTCATTTTAGCTTCTTTTGTTTCAGAGATATTACAGTTTATTTTTTTGGTCAAGCAGAGGTCACCTTTCCCCCATAAAGCCTCAGATTCAAAGTGGTGTACTATTTCTGTGCTTTTTTAGTGAAGATTTGTGCAGTTGTGCTGGGTTTTTTTATTTTTTAAATATAATCATACTTATTTTCGGCTATTGACATCACTGACAATAAAATATATAATATCTAACATTATATAAGCTCATTGTGAATTAAAAAGGCTGAAACTGATGTTCAAGTAGAGCATAACATAGGCTTGTATTTCCCTTTTGTCATAATCCTAAAGCCACAGAAATATTAGAATATATCACAGGTAGATTTGTTTTCCATGGAGCAAAAACCCTGGGTCTGTTTTCATTTCATTTTATATTGTTTCTATTGTTAGTGGCAGCCCACTGCTCCCCAAGGGGATAGGTTAAATGCAGAGGTAAATTTCTCCATTATAAGATCATTAAAGTTTTATTTTTGTTGTTGTCTTGTTCTGGCTAAAGAAGCTCAATTTGAAGATAACTATGGAAGCATGAAAAAAAGGATCTGTTTATATATATATACGTTATGTTTGAAATGCATCAATTAAATGTTGGTATAGAACAATCGCAGAGAAATTACCTGCACCAAGAATAACGTGGAAGAAGCATCAAAGTGTAACATTTCAGATTTTGTGGTGGTTGGTCAAAAAAGTATACAAAAGCTGTGAGTGAACATAAAGAATTTAAGAATTCAAGGGATTAATAAAGTAATTCTAATTCTGATAACACTTTTTTCTTTTTTGT